TGGGGGGCCGAGCTTTAAAGCGGCCGCTCCTGAGCCGCAATTGACGAGGAAGCAATTATGAAATTTTGATGTTCAAAATGGGGGGGCCAAGCCACCGGCGAGCCGCTCCCCGCTGCGCGCCGCCGCCAGGCCTCTGAAGAGCTCTCGAGCCGGGCGGGGGGCGCGGGGCGCCCCGTCATTAAAGGCCCCTCTCCAGAGCTCGCGGCGCCCGGGGAGCGCGGGCCGGGCGGCCACATGAAAACCAGCGCGATTGAGATGCGCGAGCGGCGCGGCGCGGACTGGCTCTGGAGGTCAAGTGACGGACGGATTGTATGCTTCTTCATAATAATATTAATTAAACAATTTGCATGCTAATAAGGTAACAATTATCAGGGCCTCTGTTGAAAGATTCAGGTTATTACAACACGCCAATCTGGGGGCCAGGGGTCAGGGAGTGAGAGGCGAGCGAAATTTCAACTCAAATTAACATTCTGTCAGCTCCAGAAAATGGGATAAATAAAGTCGAATTAATTCATTATAATAAAGAGAGCTGGCCGCGGGAGCCCGGCCTGCGCCCCGCCCGCCCCGCGCGCGCTGATAGCGGCTGGGTATTCAGGCTCACGCGCCGCGCGGCTCCCCGCACCCCGACGCCCAGCCGGACGCTGGTGGCCGCCGGCGAAAGCCAGGCGCTGGGCAGAGTTTACATTTAGTATTTATAGAGAAAGAAATTAAATTATAGCAGCAAGTAGTGCTCTTAGCCCGCGACCTCGGAATTAAAGCCTCACAGCTTTTCCCTTGCGCGTCTGGAAAAGAGGAGGGGGTGCCAGGTCCCAGCCCCCTCTGTCGGCCCACAAGGTGGCCACGTCCCCCAGCCCCGGGGAGAGGGGGACAGGCCCGCACGGTGCGGCCCTGGCCAGAGGCGCCGAGCTAGGCCTGGGCCGCCAGGGTCATGGGTGCAGCAGGCTGGGGCGCAGGCCTCCCGCTCCCTTGAGTGACACTGTCCCAGGAGCCTCCTCCCTGGCCACCCGTGAGGACACTTGTGTACACTCCTCTTCAAACACCAAAAGCCAGGCAGGCTCAGACCAGAGACAGAGCCCTCACAGTCCTGCTCTGCCCTGACCCTTCCTGCCCCCTCTGCACCCGGGACTGGAGCTGAGCGCCCAAGCCGAGGCCACTTTCACGGAAAGCTCGCTCGCTTCGCTCCCCCCTGGGTGGAGGCTCCCTCTGGGCTCCAGAGGAGAGGCCTGGAGCTAGCTCGTCGCCCCCCCCTCCTCCGCCGCCCCGGCCTGCGTGGAAAGGTACCTCACCCAGGGCGCACGGCGCCCACCACCTGGGGCCCCACACCCGCCAGCTGCCAGATGTGACCCCCCCATTGGCAAACTTAGATCAGCTACATCTCTGTCCTCTCGTCCTCTGATCTGCAACTTCTTGAAGGAAACGCGCGTTCCACGATTTCTTTTGGAGCCCGTCAGGGTTCACAATGGGGAGGGAGTGAGAGTCTCCGAGAACATTCATTAGAAAAAGTGCGTCGTGTCCCGCCCACCCCTCGCGGCGAGGCCAGCCCAGCCGGCGGGTGGACAGTGGTCACGCCGGGCGGCCGCCGCCCCCCACCCCCCCACCCCCGGTTCTGGCCCTGCTCGGCCTGCCCCGCCCTCCTCCGTCCTGCGCCTCCTTGCTGAGCGGGGGTCAGGGAGGCGCGTGGCCTCCGGGAGGGGCGCCGATGGGGCCTTTGGGGGCTCAGACAGGACTCCGTGTCTCTGAAAGGACTTTCTCCTCTTTGGAGGCGCCCTCCCCCCTCCTCCGCTGCCTGCAGCCGCCGAGGGGACTCAGAGAAGCCCTTGTAGTTTTAAATTCAATGTGACAGCTTCGGAAAGAGCGGATGATGAATCTCCTATTATTGGATCAGTCTATTTGCCGCTCAATGTCTCTCTGTAATTGGAGCAACATCACTTTAAAGGTTCAGAGAGTCTAGCATTTCTGGTGAAAAATCCCCACTACACGCCGGCGAATGTTTTAAAGGGAAATCTATTAGAGATGTGCGGGGGGCGGGCGCCGGCGGCGGGGCGGGGGCGGCCGGGCTGCAGGGCTGCAGCGGGGGGCTCGCCTGGGGGCCCCGCCTGGCCGCCCCCCGCGCCGGCCGCCCCCCTCCCCGCCCCCCGTTTGTTGTGACAGTTCCTGATACTGTTTATTGAGGTGCATGTCAGGTATAATTAGCAATCGATATGGAAAACCTTCTCTGCACCCAGCACGCCTCTGACGTCAGAGCCGATTAGCGCTTCTTATTGGTCCCAAATTCCCCCGGCCGCGGCTAATTATCGGGAGCTTGATGTTGATAAAGTAAAGCGCCGGACGCGGGCGAAGCATGTGTAGGGCTCCGGGTCCC